TATTGGAGTTCAGGGTGATGTTTGCAACACGGAATCTGAGGGAAACTAAATCTGGATACCGTTCAGCCAAGACTGAAAACCGTTCAAGCAATTTTCTTCCCGTAACCCTGTAACCCCAGGACTTCGGCCTACCCCCGCTTATACAGTACATACTTCGAAGTATAATGCTAAATCCCCTAGTAGGAGTTGAGGTGGTCAGAGTACAAAAAATATGCCTCATCTAACTAGAGTTTATTAGTTTGAACGGTTTTCAGTCTTGGTTGAACGGTATCCAGATTTATTGAACGTTTTTCAGGGTTTGTCGGACTGTTGAAAGCGCTGACACTGGACGTGTTTGTTTACCACTGAACCCATCCGGCTTACGGATAAATCAGCCAATCGAACTTAATTCATTCAGTGTTGAATTGTCCTGTGTTGGTTGTTTTTGTCCCCGAACAGGGCCTTAGGGCCTGTTCCAAAATGAAAAATTGGTTCCAAGTAACGTACATTTTCCTACTTTTTTACCTCTTTTTGTGCGATATTTTACGCAACTCACTAGCAGTATACCAAAAGTAGAAAAAAAAAGGTCCTTGACGCCTTTTTCTAAGGGTTCGTCTGGTAACCGGAAATATTGCAATATTCACGCCCAAAGCGCCATTTTATGGCCGAATTCAACAAATCTTAAAGGGTACGTCTGGTAACATTATCAAAATTGAAAGATGTCTTGCTTGCAGAGGTTTAATCCAAATCCAATAATTCCACGTGGGATTTACTCGTTGAAGAGATCCAAAACGCCACGTTACAAAATGGGCCTTTTACCTCCATTTTGAAAATGACATTTTGGTTAATCCCATTTTGCGAGAAAATGGAATATTATTTTTGAAATGTTTACCAGACGTACCCTAAATCGTGAAAAAAAAGAGGTAAATCGATTTTGATTGGCTCATGCTATTTCTGAAAACTACTTGGACCTTCCCGTTAAGTCCCTGTTCGGTTGAAGTACATTTTCCTCCGGATATGATGTACGGATACGAGTCTCATACAAAGGTCAAGATATATCTTTGTGGCCTTCCCTGTGGCCAAATTCAATTCGCCCATGCAAAATACCACTTGATTAACAGTAAATGTCGATTTCATGACCAATTTTTCACCATAACGTTATTTAAATCTGAGACGTAGATCTCTAGATTCTACGTAAATTCCTAAAATTTTGAGAAATGACAACCAAATACAGTATGTGACATCCATTATTTTGCGAATAAGTTTTGAGAAAATACGAACTTGTTGACACATAACATACAGTACTAGAATCATTCCATCAGTCATGATTGGTCGCACATTTTGGCACTGGTCTCAGTCATAGTAGTCAAAAGTGATTTAATTATGTCGTGAAAACCATCTTGGACGTGCGACAAGGTACATCTAAAAAGTCTTCGATCTGCAGTGCCACTGTATTTATGAAAGTACTTTGAGATCTCTACTCACAGTACTCCGGAGTAGTATTTTGTGTACCACTGTGTGTTACAAGTGGTTAGCGACAGCTAACCACTGGCTACTAACAAACCCCGGAACAAAGCATCACACATGGTCACTTTGGGGTAGGACAAAGTCCCGGGGGAGAGGGCCAGGCTCTTGAAAAGTTATGTTTTAGAGGAGATTTGCACTTGGAACTAACAGTAAGCTTAGACTAAGTATGTAAATTGCCTTAAATACGTACATCTGATCTACAGATTAGGACTTTCTAGACGTTTTTATAGTTAAACGTGTAGGTTTAGGCAACGTTTTGTATTATACTAGTAATGCACTTGATATTGATTACCTTTTTCGTCAAAATATCGTTATTATTCCGTGGAGTGCAACCTCGTTGGTCACACGTTATTTTTTACATGAAGTATTGGCTTGAGTGTGGAGCCAAAGATTCTTCATGTAATGACGATCATAATATACTGCAAAAACTACGCCTCAATACGTCGACATGAACGCCTGCAATTTGATTGGTCGAATGGGTTTTTCGAAAATTTCATTGGCTACTTCGTTCCGTCGATTACTGCGTCGATTTTGGTTCGATTGATTGGCAGCCCCAGTCCATTTTGAAATCGTAGTACCAATAGTAATGTTAGTTCTGTAATTCCTGAGTGCAAGATTTCACCTGTTGATTACGTAATCATTTCACTTGCTCGTACTACCTGGTATAGTACTACTAGTAGTACTATGTAGTATTACGTCACTGTGAAATGCAAATCAAAACAACACACTCCAGCTAGAGGTAAAGTACATTGCAGTGGTTAGGGATAGCTAACTACTGGTGAAGCAACTTAACCCCGGGAATACAGTAGCAACATAAGTGGTCCTGGGGCTCCAAGGTCTATACGGCTACACTCTTTTTTCTAAGGGTAAGGATTACTATGATGCACGTCATCTAAAAACTTCCAACTGGCCAAATCGAAGAGTGGAGGTTTTATTATTTAACGTACAATTAATGTAGTTAAACCCAAAAACCAAAACGTTAAATACCGATTTTATGCGTTTTATCACTGGAGTGGGAGGTTAAAGGTCCCAACTGCCTCCGGATATTAAATACGGATAAGAGTCACATACAAAAATCAAGATACACTTGAGCGGCCACCCCTATGGCCAAATATCCAAGCGCCCATGTAAAATACCGCTAGGTTAAATATCTATTTCTGGACTAATTCATCACAAAATTTGAATCTGAGACGTAGAATTTCTTCACCACATTGAGATCTGTCGATTCTACGTCTCAATTTGCTGCAATTTTGAGTAATTAATATGAAATAGAAGTCAGAAAATTTTGTGAAAAGTTGGTAGTTTATAGGTGACGAGCATCATATACTGTACTGTAATAAGCAAAAGTAAGGTCGGAATAATACTACTAGTACTAACGCTACTCCGGAGTATAATAATTAAAGTTCGGTGATGCTGTATACTCATCAATTTGTCAATCGTATTTGATTCGTGATAACTCCACCAATCAAACAACAATCGTGTGGATAATCATGATATACGTTTGTTTGATTCGCTATAAATACTCCAATACTACGTAGTACGTACTGAGTAGGGTCATCCAGATGGTACTGTAACATGCTGCCTTCATCCACCTGCTTGGTGTGTGAATGGCTATCACTTGACATTTGGCAGCGGACATTTCAGTGCTCATGACCACCAAATACCAGTCCGTGGCTCTTGAGGCCAAGCTGGCCAAGACAGTGGAGCACCCACTCGACCATGCCAGCTTGGTTTCCAAGCTCTTCTTCTCGTGGGCGACGCCGCTGTTGTCTTTGGGGAACGAGCGGCAGTTGGACTCGTCCGATATTTGGGCCCTCCAGGACGACTACCGGTGCCACGTCACCAGTGCTACGTTCGAGCCAACCTTTTCCAAGTCGCGGTCGATTCTGTGGACCATTTTCAGGACGTACGGGTGGCGGTTTGCGTTTATTGGAGTGTTGCAGATCGCCACAGTAGGGTGCACGTTGTATGGGCCGGTGGTGCTTCGTCAGATTCTGTCGGCCGTGGAAACCAACACGTTCGACGTGCGGGCCATTTTGCAGCTGATTGCGTCGCTGTTTGTGGTCAAGCTGGTCGCAGCGCTGCTGTCGGCGCACTCGAGTTTGGAGAACCAGCTCATTTCCGTGAAAATCACGTCGGCGCTCCAGCACTTACTGTACCAAAAGACCATGCAACTGGACTCGAAATTCCGCCGCGAAAAAACCGCCGGCGAAATCTCCAACATGTTTTCCAACGACATTCAATGGATCATCAACTTTTCCATCAACGCTAACCAGCTGTGGCTCGTGCCAGTACAAGTGGTCGTGACGCTCATGATGTTGTACGACGTGATTGGGTGGGCCACGTTTGTGGGCGCCGGCGTGATTGTGCTCACTCTTGTGGCCAACCATTTCGTGTCCGTGCTCATTCGCAACGGGTTCGACGACGTCATGCAGAAGAAGGACACGCGCATGAAAACGATCAACGAAGTATTTGGCGCCATGCAAATCATCAAGTTGAATGCATGGGAAGAGCGCTTTGGCGACAAGATCACCGCCGAACGCACGGACGAACTGGCGGCGCTGTGGCGAATCTTTGTGCGCACGAGCATGAGCACAGTCGTCTTGTACCTTGGGCCTGTGGTCGTGACCATCGTGTCGTTTGCCACATACACGATGGTCATGCACGAGTCTTTGAGTGCCGCCAAGATGTTTACGGCCCTCACGCTGTTCAATCTACTCAAGTGGCCACTGAGCGGACTTCCCTACGTGATCACCACGTTCATGCAAGCGTTGGTGGCGTTGAAGCGGTTTATGGAGTTCCTCGACTTGGCCGAAAAGGACACGAGCGCTGTGTGGACCCCTGGCACGACATCTGCCTCGGATCTTGCCTCGTACGCGGCCAAGGGGTATGATATCTCGGTGGAACAGGCCAGCTTTGGCTGGGACGCTGCCAAGCCCCTCTTCAAGGACGTCAACTTGAAGGTCAAGCGAGGCGAGTTTGTGGTCGTGCATGGCTCGGTGGGCGAAGGCAAGTCGTCGCTGTGTGCCGCCTTGTTGGGTGAAATGGACAAGTACGAAGGAACCGTGTTTGTGGGGGGTCGCGTCGCGTACTTTTCGCAGCAAGCGTGGATTCAAAACATGTCCGTCCGCGAAAACATCCTCTTTGGCCACCCCTATGACCGCGTCAAGTACAACAACGTGTTGGCAGCGTGTGCGTTGTCGAAAGACCTGACGCTGTTTCCGGCCGGCGACCGAACCGAGATTGGCCAGAA